AAGAATGAGAATTATTCTTCCCATCAAGTATAATAAAATAATAAAATGCTTAAAGCATTATTTCAAGCCTCATGTTTTGATGCCTGTAATGTGCTGTTAGCCTTCCTCTTCTGCTTGGCAAGATAAGGAACATCTGCCATTAACCAAAATTCACGGTAAGGCTGGCATTTACCAGCACTAATTGGCAAGTACTGCTATAGGAAGGCTGTCAGACTTTCCTAACTGCAAAGCAAAACACAATTCAGGAGTATTCATCCCCTCCTGAGACAACCCATCTTAATAAGAAAGCAAAAAATGGGTCTAAAAGAATGAAGATATCTCCTGATAAAAAGAGGAAGTGTCATGCAGTTGCAGCAACACAAAATCAAGTGCTGGCTGGCTGGTCTTCTATGCACAAGCATGTCTGTGTGCACCTGTTACCATGCCCCTGAGTCTGGAGAGGGCTGTGGTCTAAGTAAGCTGGGCTCAGTTGGGCTGCAAGAGCAAAGCTGGCTAGCACGCTGCTCTGGTGGCTTCAACCCACTGCAGAGTAATGGAGTTATCAACAGGGAGCTGAGATCTGGAAGCACAGCTATAACCCAGACCTCCTCAAAAAACTGTGGGAGGCAAGGTATTAACATTCCCTTGCCTTTCCCCACTCCCTCCTTTTGTTAATAGATGGTTCATTGACTCCACAGAAGCATCAGACACTGCTTGCAGGGCCACCAGATGCTGACTTGTTTCCATCCTGGAAAGGCATCCTACCACAGTCCCCTATCACAGTGCTACCATCAGCCAGGACACCTGGTGCAAACCCTGAACTGTGTATTTCTGCCAATGGAGTACACAACTGCAGAGCCCCAGCCCCTCTCACCTGCCTCCCTTCACTGTTAAAGCACTTTTACTCTGCCCAACATACTTCACACAGTTTCAACCAGTCATTGATAAATTTGGATCTGGATTTCAAGCCCTTACTGATCTGGATACTTCTAAAGAAGCAAAATGATTCAAGGATGCTCTGGAAGTGTCTGGTTTCTGCTTTCAACAGTTGGTGTTTTAAGGGCTTTCAGAGTATGCTGCTGGGGCTGGCAGCAGCAAGGTGGCCAGCCTGCTCTGGGACATCTCATCTTCAGCCAAGCTTCTTCTGGCTTCATCAATGAAAGCCTCTTGTCAAGCCAGCCCAACCTGGATCAGTTCAAGAGTGCCTTTGACAACCAGACTCCTGCCCCTCATATCCTAAATCTGGTCCTTGAAAACCTCAGTCCTACTTTTGATCCCTGCCCACAGCAGCAGTATCTGGCCACTTCTGGACACTTCCTAGGGGCTGAATGGCTACAGAAGCAGTCCACAGATCTTCCAAAAGCACCATCAGAGTTAAATGAGAACAAAACTGAGGGTTTTTTTCCTACCAGTGAACACAGTGAAACCACAGAATAGGTGTACCGTGAGGAAACCTCAGAGTTTCCCTTTTCCAGCAGACTCCATCAGTCCCTCCCCATACTGCACTTTCATCTGTGCCTGTATAATTACCAGCCTACAAACTCCACCCTGTGTCAGGCCACTGACTAGAAGAAGTAAACTTTGATTTCTGTTTTTAAGCTCCGCAATATTTCCAGGATGTGATGGATCATTACTCCAACTCAGAGAGTGCCTGGTCTTAAAATCACTGTCCCCAACTCCCACTGCTGCCAGCCTGGGTCCTCTCCAAAGTCAGGTCTGGTTTCCAGACCTTAGAGATCTTCCTGCTAGGCAGATACAGCTTTGCTGCTTTGAATCACCACATTTTAAAAAGGCATTAGGTTCATCCTAAAAATACTGCAGCATAACTTAACCACTTGTAAACAATAAATGCTGCCTGCTAATTGACAGGTACAATATTTACTCAGGGTTACATACCAGCAAACAGACTGGCAGATTTGTTTATATACAGCGACAGCGATGCCAAGTGCACAAGAGAGACAGATCAAGATCTGAGAGATGAAAGCATGCCTAAAGAAGGGGACTGGCACATGCACACAAACCAGTAACACAGGAATCTCCTGGCAGGTTCACTTGACAAACAGTATTCATCTTGCCTGTCGTTTCATGATCCAGCATTGCTGTTATGAGCAGCATGCATTGAGAAAATGGGAGAACAACCCCACACTTGTGGAAGAGGAAAACACAAAAAGCAAAGAGCACCAAAACGACATGTGGATGCCTTAAAAACATTCCCAGCACATCCCCAAATACAGGGGTGAAGGGGCACTGGCTATGAGCTAGCTGCTGAGATCAGCAGAGCAGCGGCCAAAGACACACAGATTCCACCCAATCTCTTCTCCCCTCTTTGGTTACAACTTCAAAACAACTTTCTACAAGGAGAAAGGAATGTATATTCCTGGACTCCATATTCCAAGTTCAGTAATGCTCCAATCTGCCTCCTGGGGTGAGACAGGGATGGAGGTGTGCGGAGGACCAGCAAAGTCCTTTCACATCCATGCGGGTCACCGAGCAGCTTCTCAACGCCTTTCCTCCCACCTGCAGCCAACCTCCAGTCTGCAGCAGGCTGGCCCTCCTCCCCTCAAAGTGAACATAGTGCTCCCCAAAGGTGCAGGGCTGACAGCCCTGGATATTCAATTAGTCAACGTGCAGAGGACTTGCCGAGTGTGGGGTGCACAGTGGGGATGGAGCTGCTTTCCCCACAGAGATGGTGCCCTGCCAATGCACCCTGTCCCTGCTCAGGAGGAGATAACTCATCCTGCAGCTCCGAGAGGTTTGGCTCACACTTTGAAGCCTGGAAGGAGGCTGCAACTTCTGACACGACGTCCTGGATGCTGTTTTCAAAAGGCTCCTGACATGACAGGATCTCACATGCCCAAGTTCCAGGTCATGCTTTGAAAATGGAGCTGGAAGTGAGATTTGAGGCTCCCAAGAGTCTTTATTCTTTGCCTGTTTTTTTTTAAACAGGACTCAAATAATTTTGAAGATTTTATTCAGTGTCCCTGTACAATACTTATTAAGAAACTGAATTAAGCACTCGTTGCTCTGACAGCAGCTAGCCCACAGATGCTAGAGTGATGGGCTTCTATAAGGCCCTCATGTCTTTAAAAAGCAAATGATGAGCCAGGAGTGCTATTCAAGGTCCAGATATTCATATTTCTCCTCATTCAGATGTCAAGAAAACGTAGTAAGTACTGACACAGACAGAGGTCATATTTCTAAGCAAAATATTAAGGGTCGTTGCTCTGACAGCAGCTAGCCCACAGATGCTAGAGTGATGGGCTTCTATAAGGCCCTCATGTCTTTAAAAAGCAAATGATGAGCCAGGAGTGCTATTCAAGGTCCAGATATTCATATTTCTCCTCATTCAGATGTCAAGAAAACGTAGTAAGTACTGACACAGACAGAGGTCATATTTCTAAGCAAAATATTAAGGGGGGCTAAAATAAAAAAAAAAAAAAAAAAAAGCAAGAAGCAATTTTACAAAATGACTGTGTCTCCCAACAGGCTCCATAACCAATACACCACAGCTGAACAGATTACAGATCTTAAATTTTTCCAGTGCCTCAACTATGCTTTCACATTTTACAAAGCCATCTTGTATGTGCTTTGCATTAAAAATTTATTTATTGCTCACATTGATACATATATGTTCTGAATTTAACAATTTACTGCTCAAACCAGAATGACTCAAAACATCAAGGTAACACTAGCACGAGATGGCTCTGGATCAAGAATTTCTTTTTACACATATTTTTGGCTTTCCGCTTAAAAAAAAGTCCGATCATCTTCATTTATAACATGTGTTTAATTAGACATCTTCAGAACAGATTTAAGAAGTTTTATATGGACCAGAGCTTTCAAAACACCGAATGATTAATTTATTTATTTTTAACTTTCTAATGTTCTGTTTCAGAGACTACAATTACGAGACTTGCAAACACAGTACATAAACATCCTACCCTTTCTGTTGCACCATAAAATCCAACCTGTCTCACAGATGCAAAGAGCAAGTTTTTGCAATTACATTTCTTTAAAACCAGAGGGGTTTTTAATTGCTTTTAGCTCGTACAATGTACTTTAAATTTAATTACTTCAAGTTCACAACCACCATCACCACCACCCTGCAGTAGTGCTGAGGAGCACTAATTCAGAAGACACGTTTAAACCCATGCTTTTCTCAACAGAATTTAGTGATGAGATGTCCTCTCACACTGCTTTGTTAACCAGCTTTGAAGTCTTAAAACCAAAACCAGCTGCTGCAGCAAGCCCCAAGCCCAACAAAGCAGAGTTCATCTGTTTATACTATCAGTGCCTCTGGAAAGATTGGCAGACAGTGCTTCTGGTGATAGATGCATACTGAAACCTGATCAAGCCTTGGTTATTTTTCTCCATTCAGCAACGCTGCAATTCTAGACAGGCAACAAAACCCAAGATCTCCATTAGGACTCCGAGAGAAGCTAGGAAAGCCCCAATCCCACTGTCGTCCCAAGCATTAACGAATAGTCTGCCTCGTTAACTCTACGTAAAATGCACAATTGCTTCCATGTGGTCCCCAAACACTGGCCAAACAAGTTTCGTAACACAAATATATGCACCGTGGTCTCCTGCATGAAAAAGGGAAGCTTCAATTCCAGCGTTCACATGAGCTATAAGGTGACATCAAGTCCAGACAGAGCTAAACATGAAGCCCCAAAGGACAAAATTACCATCTTCCACTGACACGTCCTGCCCCAGTGTCGTAGGGTCATCAGTTGTCTAAACAAAAGAAATACTGAGGCCACCTCTAATGGATCAGAGATATAAGGACCTTTCCTTCCATTGCAGATGGAAGTATGACAGAGGTTTCCCACAACTAATATTTAATTTGCCCCCTGTTTTGGACCCCATCCCACAGCTTGGTAGCCTTGACAGCTTGTCTTGTTATGTGGAGGCTCAGTCCAAGAACAGAGCACTGAAACCAGGGAAACAGTTTGAAAAATTTGCTTCATTCGCTTGCACACCTGCTGTTTCCTTCCCTAGAAAAAACAATGCAAACGTACCTGGGCAGAATGGACCCCGATATCTGGCATGCCACCGTCTGACAGCCGGCACTGGTACAGTCCCCCGGTGCTTTGGTGCTGCTCTTCACCATTGCTTTCTGCTTCAGAGGTCTCTGGCTGAGCAACCTCCACCTCCATCGGGGTGCAGTGCCCGTTCCCATGTTCCGAGCCCAGCTTTTCCTTGCTGTCCTTGCTGCCTGGTGTTCTGGTGATGACCCCAAACTTTCTGGTTCTTTTCCCATTTTGAGCCGCTCTGTCGCCGGGTTC